TATCCATCAATCAACGAAAATACACGCTTGATATTCTCAAGGAAGCAGGTTTACTTGGGGCAAAACCGGCTAAGTTTCCCATGGAGCAAAACTTGAAACTTTGTCCTACCGATGGCGAGTTACTTAAGGACCCTACTCATTATCTGCGGTTAGTTAGGAAATTAATTTATCTCACCATCACTCGACCAGAGATCACTTTCACAGTCAATATGCTAAGTCAATTCATGCAGATGCCTAGGCGACCTCATTTAGATTCCGTTTATCGTTTATTACGTTACTTGAAAGGCTCTCCGGGTCAAGGATTACTTTTTCCTTCTAAGAACGATATGAAGTTAACAGGTTTTTGTGATGCGGATTGGACTGGATGTGTTACTACACAACGATCAGTGACCAGATATTTTGTTTTTCTAGGGAAAGCACTCATTTCCTAGAAAAGCAAAAGACAAACTACAGTGTCTAAATCTTCGGCTGAGGCTGAGTATAGGTCAATGGCTTCCATTACTTGTGAGTTAACTTGGTTACGATACTTACTACATGATCTACGAATTGATCATAGACAACCTGCCACTTTGTATTGCGACAACCAAGCAGCTATGCACATTGCTACTAATCCGGTGTTTCATGAGAGGACAAAACATATTGAGATCGACTGCCATGTTGTACGGGAACGGATTGAAAGGGGAGAAATCAAGACGGCATATGTGCCAACTGGAAATCAAGTGGCCGATATCTTCACCAAAGCATTGGGACAAGTGCCTTTTCATTCACTACTTCACAAGTTGGGCATTCACAACATACATGCTCCAAGTTGAAGGGGAGTATTAACGGAAAGAATATTCTTTCTTTATTATAATTATCTTTTCCTTTATTGTAATTATTTGTATTGATTTTTAGGATTCTTTCTCATTCATGTAATTAGTTTCCTTTTCCTTTCCCGTTTGTTTTTCCTCGTTATGTTTGCTGTATAAATCATTCTTGTATCCCTTCATTATCAATACACAAAAATTCTACCAAAAGTCTGTCTTCTTCTTTTCTTTTCTATCATAGAATTTTATATAAAGGTCGTCAACCGTCCTTTGCAACATGTGTAAAAATATTATTTGAATTTTTTTTCGAGAATATTCATTTAGTTTGGAAAAATTCTTAGGTACACCACCGATGTTAAGCACTATTACTAATAAAAAGTTGACCCCACTTATAAGTCGTATACTGTGGGATTCACTCTCTATTATTGAGTGGATAACATTGCTCTTCAATTTGAGGCTTTAGAAAATAGAATTAAATTATCTTTTTATGCAATTTCGATAAAAAAAAACAAAATTTGAAGGTACCACGTATATGAAATTTAAGTTAAAGTAACAAAATTGAGAGATAATAATTAAATTATCTTTTTATAAGAAATAAATTTTGAGAAGAACATTCATTTGATTTGAGGCTTTAGAAATTAGAATTAAATTATCTTTTTATGCAATATCGATAAAAAAAATTTGAGGGTGCCATGTATTTAGAAAATTAAGTTAAAGTAACAAAATTGAGAGATAATTGTCTCTAAGTGAAGAGAAATCTTGTAAACCAATTTGAAATACAAGATGAAGAAATAAGTTTTTATGGTTATAGAACAGACAATGCATTTATGGTTATATATGTACTTTCCCGAAAGAAAAGAAAGGGGAAAAATGAAAAAAGAGCAAGGTAACAATATACGACATTAACTATTCGTTTTTCCATATTTTACGTATGATTGTCCTTTTTCTTATTCACTACGGCACTTGAATGTGTACAGATTCTTTGAACGCCAATTATATTTACTAAGAATTCTAATGAAAATCTATATTTTATTTTCTAAGAAAAACTACACAAAATTAGAAGCCACGTTTTCCTCATGAACATTACTTTGCTTACTAGAGTTATTTTGACTACTAGAATTAACTTTTCATGGAGGTTTTAAGAAGGTTTGGAATTATGTTGTTCTAATTTAATATTAGGAGACTTACGTCTTATTTAGTTCAATGATTCAAATTATTAAGTTAGTTGGAATTGTAGTTATTTAAATTGTGCTGATTTTCATTATCTCTAGTAATCACTAATATATATTATTTTTATTAAAGAATAAGAAAATAAAATTTCTTTTTTTACTTATTTTTATTTGATATTTGAAAAAAAAAAAGAAACTTTGGGGTTTTTCTTTCATTTAAAAAAAGATGAGTTTTGGCCTTTTTCTATTTCTATATAAATAGAATTTCTATATATAAATGGAAATAAAAAAATTCACTAAACTTATCGGAGTAACTTCTCATTGATGTATTGTTTAATCGGAATCCAATCCAAATCTGTGTGTGTTTTTTATGCGCTCCAGTTAGTGTTGAAAAAATGAAATTTAAAAAACACACACAAAATACATAAACTAGATGTTTATACGCCCAATTGACTTAGCGGTACGTTGCATACATTTTTATGTAAAACACTTCATTCTCTTTCAAATTTCGAGATTTTTGGCCTTTTCAAGTTTAGTTTTAGAACTGTCATTTTTAATAGGGATATTTATTAAGGTATTTTGATTTAAGTGAGAATCACGACTTGCAATATAATTCAACCAAGAATGCAAGAATTAAGCCGACCAAGGATATCGTCTACTAACGGGGTATTTAAATCTAATAGAATTTAATAAATATCTAATACTTAAAACATAATGTATATATATTATTCTCTATTTAAGAGGCGAAAATTTTCGAAAAGAAGAAAGAGGAGAAAAAAGGGAATTGCTTTATAAGATACAAAAACAACTTTACAAATATTAACACGTAATGACGAATCATATAATTTTCATCATATTATCAGACAATTATGATAATAATTCCTTTTGCTTTCATTAATTTGAGAGCAAGGATTCCAACTCAATAAAAATTGTAAATTGTAAAAGAGAACTTTTTAATCGGGCATAAAAAAAAAAGCATATTAATATCACATAGTACTTAACAGTCAAATATTCAAAATAATTTTATTTGCTCTGATGTATTCTCAAGTATAGTTAAATTTACATTTTTTTTATTTAATATGATATGTTTGTAATATGATAGGACGACAAAAAATTCTGTTGTGCAAGGTAGTTTTTCATTTATTTTCCTTTTTCCTCCTCTATACTCTAAAACTCCATAATTCTCCGTCTTAACAAAATACTAGTTGAGTCAAGCTCCAATGATCGCCACGTGGCACAAGAAGTACAACTTCTTGGTCCATGTTTATAACAAAACAATGTTAATATAAATTAATTGGGTTCAACATCACATACTAATAAAATCTATAAATAAAATCTATAAGTAGAGTCTACTCTTTAGTAATTGTGGTGCTTAGTGTATTTTCGCTATATAAGGATATTTCACATCAAAATTTAAAAATATGTAAAACCAATAAAATAATATAAATTTAGACAAAGTATTAAATTCGACCTTTGATAAATGTAACTTTTTCGTATGTACGTATAATATCGTTCGTTCTTACGTGTAATTTTTTTATATGTTTGTGTAACACTCAATTTCATCTGTGTTTAACTATATTTATTAAATGTTATACTAAAACAAATTAAATATTACACACATGTACAAACGATGTTACATGTATAAGATACTACACGAGCATGCAAAAAAAGTTACACGTGCATAACTGCTTCGGATATTGGGCAATACAATTCTCATAAATTTAACAAGGGAGAATGTGGCAAATAAAACTAAATTATGTAAATAACATATTTTAAAATTTTTTATAGTACATATCAATTTACCGTGTAAATATTTTATTTATAACTATTAAAAAAATTCACATACATTTTCTTTGTACAATCAGTAAAATATTTTTTTTCAGATAAATTAAGATTTTTTATCATGTAAAATTATTTCAAAACAGTTATAAAAAAATACATTTAATCGGTAAACTATTATTTACATCAAATAATTTTAAAATATACTATTTACTTAATTTAGTTGAGAGAGAACTGGTACGCTTGGTATACCGGTATGTCAGGTTTTTCTAACCATTGGATCTTCTTATTTTTTAACTTTTACGTGATTTTATGCAAATTCAACGGACAAAAAATCCGACCTATCGGTATGTTGACATACTGAAAAAAGTCTTAGACCTCGTTCACTTACTAATTTGAGTTTAGAATTCGAGTTTTGCTACAGTAAAAAGCTCTAAGAAACAGTCACATCTAACTTTTTGTTACGGTAAAAAACTCTCACATAAAATCACTTCTCGACTCAAATTAAAAATTCGAATCATGGAACTAATCGGCCCTTAATTTAGCATTACAAATCTACTTTTTGTTACAATTTTCCTAAAACTAATTTAAAACAGAATTTATCGCTATATATAGTATGTATTCAAAATTCTCAATATATTAATAAAGAAATAATAAAAACTACCATAAGGGGAAAGAAAGGCACAGTTTCGGTTTCGGTTTCGGTTTCGGATTCGGTTTTAGTTTTAGTTTTGGAAGGAGAGAGAGAGAAAAAATAGAGAAAGTGAGAGAATAAAACAAATGTTTTGGGGGGTGACGAGGACGGGATGTGCAAAAGAGCGTCCAAGTTCTCTTCATGTAAGAATGTGGGCACCACCCCCTTCCCCCCCTTCCGCCCCTTTTAATTCCCCCCCTTTTCTCCCTCTCCCTCTCTCTCCTCGAAACAACGGCGCTATAAACCAAAGACCAAACCTTCCCCCTCTCTCTCTCTCTCTAAAATCTCTTCTTCCCATTTTCATTCTCTCTTTCGCTAAAGCCTTGAGCTTTTTCTCTCCTTTATATTTTTCGCTGTTAGAAATTTGAAAAACATAGAAAAAGAGAGAGAAAAAAAGGATTCTCTGGTATTTTTGTGGGCGGTGTTTGTGCTGTATTGTGTTTGTGTTTGTTCTTCTAGTCTATACTGTACTAGACTTTTCTTTTTCTGTTTTTCTCTCTTCGGGTTCTGGGTTTTTCTTTTTTCTTCTTCTTCTTTTTTTTTTTCCTTGTAAATAAAAATTCTTTTTTTTTTTGTTTTCCTTATTAAAGAATCATTTTTATTGGGATTTGTTGCTGGGTTTTTGTTCCTAGAACTGTACTGGTTTAACTTCTCATCATATCTCTATATATATCTATATATATGTAAATGGGCAGCCAAAGGTTTGTTCTTTTGATGAGATTGGACTAATGGGTTATGGAAGAAGAAGATCTCAAGCCCGGTTTTGATTGGAATCTGGCGATTTTGTTGATTTTCCAGGTATATATATTTCTTTGCATTTTTTTCCTTGTTTCTATTGTATTGGGTATTGGTGGGTTTCTTTCTTTATTGTTTCTTTTGGATTTGTGTTGATCATTAAAAAAAAATAGTAAAAAATAAAAAATGGGTATTTGAAATGTCGTCTTCTTCTTCACTGTGCCATCCCAAATTTCACAACTTTAACCAGATTGGTTCTTAGATCTCAAATTTCAAATGGGTTTTCTATATTGGGACTTTTTGGTTGTCGTTTCAACAGATAAATGGATTGAAGAACCCGTCGTTTTGGATGCAATGTTTACAAAAGCATTAGCATCTGGGCTGCTACTGATTTCGTGCCTCCTCATCTCCTCCGTCGCCTCCGCCTCCGACGCCGTCTTCCCCCGATGCAACTGCGAGGACGAAGGAAGCTTCTGGAGCATCGAGAACATTCTAGAATGCCAAAGGGTCAGTGACTTCCTAATCGCCGTGGCCTACTTTTCGATCCCTATTGAGCTTCTCTACTTCATCAGCTGCTCAAACGTGCCTTTCAAATGGGTCCTTTTCCAATTCATCTCCTTCATTGTCCTCTGCGGAATGACCCATTTGCTCAATGGCTGGACTTACGGCCCTCACCCATTTCAGCTCATGTTGTCCTTAACCGTTTTCAAGATTCTCACCGCTTTGGTTTCTTGTGCGACGGCCATAACTCTCATTACTCTTATTCCTTTGCTTCTCAAAGTGAAGGTCAGAGAGTTCATGCTGAAGAAGAAGACTTGGGATTTGGGCCGGGAAGTCGGCATGATTATGAAGCAGAACGAGACCGGATTGCACGTTAGAATGCTCACTCACGAGATTCGTAAGTCGCTTGATAGGCATACTATTTTGTATACTACATTGTTTGAGTTGTCTGAGGCTTTGGGTTTGCAGTACTGTTCGGTTTGGATGCCTAACGAGGATAAGACTGAGATGGTTTTGACCCATGAATTGAAAGGGAGGAATTATTCTAATTTGTATAATTTTTCTATACCTATTACTGACCCTGATGTTGCGAGGATTAAGGGGAGTGAGGTTGTTAACATTCTTGAATCCGATTCGGCTCTTGTTGTGGCGAGGAGTGCGGAGATTGGGGAGCCTGGGCCGGTGGCTGCCATTCGGATGCCGATGCTTCGGGTTTCCAATTTCAAAGGGGGGACCCCGGAGCATATCCAGGCTTGTTATGCTGTTTTGCTTTTGGTTCTCCCTGGTGGGCAGCCGCGGTCTTGGAGCAGCCAGGAGCTTGAGATAGTAAAGGTCGTTGCTGATCAGGTGGCTGTGGCGCTTTCCCACGCCGCGGTTCTTGAGGAGTCTCAGCTCATGAGGGAGAAATTGGCAGAGCAGAATCGGGCGTTGCAGATGGCGAAGAGGAACGCAATGTTGGCGAGCCAGGCGAGGAATGCGTTCCAGAAAGTGATGAGTAATGGGATGAGGAGGCCGATGCACTCGATTTTGGGCTTGCTCTCGATGCTGCAGGATGAGAATTTGAGCAATGAGCAACGGGTTATTGTTGAGGCGATGGTGAGGACGAGCAACGTTCTGTCGACTCTGATAGACGATGTGATGGATACTTCTACAAAGGATAGTGGGAGGTTTATGTTGGCGATGAAGTCTTTCCGTCTACATGCCCTGATAAAGGAAGCTGCCTGTCTTGCCAAGTGCTTGTGCTTGTATAGGGGATTTGGTTTCGCTGTTGAGGTTGAAAAATCTATGCCTGATCATGTAATGGGAGATGAGAGAAGGGTTTTTCAGGTGATTCTGCACATGATCGGAAACCTTTTGAATGGCAACAAGGAAGGAGGATTGGTCGTGCTTCGTGTTTTTCCCGAGAGCGGGAGTCAGGGAAGGAATGACCAAAGATGGGCGGCTTGGAGACCAAGCTCCTCAGATGGGGATGTATATATCAGATTTGAGATTAGGCTGAGTGAGAGTGGTTCTCAATCAGATGGGGCAATTCCGACAGCACCGGTTGTTAGTCGGAGATACACCAGCGACGGAATTGAGGAAGGCTTGAGCTTCAGCGTCTGCAAAAAGCTTGTGCAGGTGGGGTTGGTAAACTCTTTTATTTGTTGTGTGTGCGTGTGAAAGCCAAATACTAATAGATTATACACATTATTTATGTAATAGGGGATGAAGATTAAACTTGGGAAAGCTTGACTCTGCATTGAGATAGTTATTTAGCTGCATTGTCGTTTGAAAAAAGGATTGTGCTTAGGACTAGATAACCTCATGTATATTGAATAATAATCTTATTTCATCTTCATTCTTGAATGTTTAGTGAAATTTATTAATTGGATAAGGATTATGCTGAACTTAAGAAGACGGTATTCAACCTTTTATGTCTTGTGGTTCCACATTTATGCTAGGAGTTTACTTAATCGCATTTTGAGTTAAAAAAAAAAAAAAAAAAAACATAGTTGAGTTTTTAAGTTCTTTCATCTTACACTGTGGGAGCAACTTAGTATTTCTTGTAGATTTTCCTTCTTTTGTTCCTATATTTCTTTTTTATTAGCACTCTCTAGTCCTCATTCTTTCTGTTTCTTATTATATCTTCTTGTGTCTTGAAATATCACTTGTTATTATCAATTCTAATCTTCCTTTTATTGACAGATGATGCAAGGGAACATATGGGTAGCCCCAAGCTCTCACGGATCTGTCCAAAGCATGGGGCTACTTCTTAAGTTTCAGCTCAGACCATCCATTTCAATAGCAATCTCCGAACCCGGAGGCTCATCAGAACACCCGCATTCCAATTCTCTTTTCAGAGGGCTGCAAGTTTTAGTAGCTGATGATGATGACATAAACAGGGTTGTAACAAGGAAGCTGCTCGAAAAGTTAGGTTGTATTGTAACCACTCTTTCTTCTGGGTTTGAATGCCTCGCTGCTATAAGTCCAGCGAGCTCTTCGATACAAATCGTGCTCCTGGACCTTCACATGCCTGAGTTGGATGGTTTCGAAGTTGCAAGTAGGATTCGGAAGTTTAGGAGCCGTAGTTGGCCGTTGATCATTGCCTTGGCAGCAGGCGATCAAGAAGATGTCTGGGATAGGTGTATGCAGATTGGAATCAACGGGGTAATCCGAAAACCGGTTCTGTTGCAAGGAATTGCCAACGAGTTGCGAAGAGTCCTGTTGCAGGCCAACAAAATGTGAATCATGATATAACTTAGCATACAGCACATTTGTTGTCTTTCAATCCCCTCCACAACAAGCTTCAGACATTGAGATGTTGCACACAACATTCAAAGTCAGAATGGTATACAAAAGTTGGCTCTTATCTTTTATTTTCTATCTCATGTGTTTGAGCGATGTTATAATTTACATAGAATAGTTCCAGATTTGATCACAGTAATCAATATTGTCATAGAAAGACATCCTTCTAATATCTAAAGACTCAACAAAAAAAAACAAACAAACAAACAAAAGCAATGGATGGTTGAAACTACATGGAACTTGGGGTGCAAGTGCAAGAAAAAAAAAAAACAAACAAACAAACAAAAGCAATGGATGGTTGAAACTACATGGAACTTGGGGTGCAAGTGCAAATTTTTTGGAAACAAAATGTAGAGAAATGAGTATAGTATTATTACAGATGCTTCTTAGTCCTTAATAATAGAAAGCATTTTATTTTGTGGATCAAGGAAGTTTTTAGATTCTAAAGTCATGAAAATTTATGTGAAGATTCAACACTTTATGCCTTTGCATTTTATTCTTGAGATATGAGAAGAAAAGAAAAGGGAAACTATGAAAATAAAATAAAAAATAAAAAATAAAAAAGTACCCCCCTGTTACATAAACCGGCAGTATATTAAAGCACTGTCAAAGTGAAACTTTACCAACATGAGGTGCTATGAAATGCAAGAGTTTGACTTGACATTTTTTTTTTTTTTTGAAAATATACGTGTTTTTTTTTTTTTGACGTTTGAAGATTCTTCAGTAAACCGAAGCTCTCGAATCTTAAAGGTGTCTGCCACTAATTGTATCTCTCTTCTTTTTTTTTTTTTTCCTCTTTATTTTTTATTTTTTATTTTTTTTGGTTGTCTTCAATCTCCGGTGAAACCACTAAATTTAGTACAGCCTTTTCAGTCCAATAATTTTAAAAGAAAAGGGAAAAAAAAGAGAGGAAAAATAAATAAAAAAGAGCTGCACACACATATATGATTTCTACTGTTATCAGCGGATCACAGCTATCTGATTAAATATTCAAATTATTCTCTAATTGCAGAAGAGAGAGAGAGAGAGATGTGGGACTTGGCAGTGGCTTCTATTATTCTTTAAATGTTGCAAGAAACATTTACAAGTTTCATATGTGCCACGTATTAAGTAAAATGAAATAAATGAAACTTTGCTGTTGTCTGCAATATTATTTTTTGTAGATACTAGTGAAATTACTCGTCAACTTTGGTCCAACCTTGTTTTTATTGCTAGATAAAATAATAATTCTAATAATAATAATAACATGGAAATGGTCTGTGCGTATGGTTGCAGGCTTGTTTGATAAATACTTGCGCTACAAGTAGAAGCGACCAAATGGCAATGGTGTGTCTCATGTCGATAATATTGAAAGAAGAAAACGGAGTGAGAAAGTTTTGGAAGAGAGAATAGGTCAATTAATAGCTTTGTTGTTGTTGTTGTGGGTATATATAAATATATATAAATATATATATATATATATATATATGTATGTATTCTGCTTTAAAAACCATGCATGAATCTGGGAGTACGTACATAGACTCTTTCTTTTTCTTTCAATATCAATTACCTAAATATATGTATATAAATATATCACGTGGACCCTTCCCTTAGCTATCCCCAGTCCCACCTCTTGGTTGGTTTTTAAGATTTTTGAGTTTCAACTATTTAAAAAAAAAAAAAAAAAAAAAAAAAAGAAAAAAGAAAGAGATTGCTATTAAAAAACTGGACCAAATTTGGCTAGCTAGTTGTTTCTTATGTGGGCAATTATTATTTTGAGAAAGGAATTGACTTTGAGATCCCTCAGGGGGGAGGAATATTATGACCAAATTCCTTGCACAAAATTCTTGTTATTTGTCATCCATCACTTTTGGCTTTTATGCCTATCAATTTCTACTAAATATTTTTCTTGGAAAGTGGTATGAGGGTGGTGGCTCAATTTAAAAAATCATTAGGCTTGTTCGTCATCTTGTCAACATTATATGATGGACTCTTCAGGCATATCACTCTCAATGGATGATACCCACCTCCCCCCACTTTATAGTTTACCCCCTATTCCCATGGGGTTTTATGTTTTTCTCTTTTGACCATAAATCCATAATATTTCATGCTTCAAACTCACTCTACAACTAAACTTTTCTGAGAATTTCTAATGACCTGTTTTGATTCACAGATTTAATACAAATTTTAATTTGTTTAAATTTTATAAAAAAAAAAATACTATAACAAAAAGTTTCGAATAAGTTCAAAACTATATTAAAAAAAAGGACTTTCAAGACGGTGAAGATTATAATAAAAAAATAATTATTTAGAATACCACCGCTAGAAAACATTTATATGCGTCTATATTAATATCTAGGATCCTCTCACCAATTTTTCTCAACTAAAAATTAATGTTCATCTAAAACACCTGTAAAATTAAGTCATATTGAACATAGTCAAATCAAATTTACATTTTTCAACAAAAAAAAAAAAAGGGTCAAATTTGCAATTTCCACCAAAATATGTTAAACCACATATTCACAAAAACAAATGTACTAGATGACGATATTAACAACAATAACGTGTGTCCTTTGGAGGTCAGATTACATAGTTGGACACGAAAACGATATACGCGTATATATATATAGGAGTGATATACCTGCTCCAATTCTATAGATATGATCTCCAATTTGATGACTTTAAACTAAATAATGATAAAAAGTCCGCAAGTGGGTGCTGCTGTCTCTTGGAAAGCAACAAGTTGGGGGTCAAAACTCAAAATAGCTTTCATTTAAGGATGACGATATTCAAATTCCTTATTTTCAAGCTGTGAAAATTTTTATTTCTTCTTGAAAAATAGATAAAATAATAATAATAATAATGAAACAAATAGACACTTGGCTTTTTCTGATAATCTTTTCCTTGTGAGAAAAGTGTTTGGCCAGGGGCTCTGTATCCGAAATAATTACAAAATAAAGTTGGACTTTTCATGGCATTGGATTTCATTAAGTGAATCTAGGAGTTTGTTTTCAGTCACCCAAAAAAAAAAAACAATTCCAGCTTGGGATAACATATAATATAATATGTGTGTGCATATATAGACCCGTTTATTTCACCGATTCAAGTTTAGAGTTTGAATTTTATTATAGTAAAATGTTTTCAGAAACAGTCACATTTAACTTTTTTACTACAATAAATTTTTTTTACATAAAATTATATCTCAACTCAAATTAAAAATTCAAACCCATAATATAATATAGTACGGTGATATGAGGGCAGGTTGGAATTACATATGATGTTGTATTAAATACTGCTTTATGTGCTATATTCATAGGATTGTGTACAGCGTATAACACAAGCAATGCCTATTATATTTATAGAATTCCTGTAAAAGTATAAAATTTTAATTCCATTAGTGGTACTTGAATTTTGTAGTCATGTACTAATTTAAAAAAAAAATCCCAAACTTAATCTCCGATTTATTAACTTATTTCAATTTTAATCTCTTGCATCAATTGAGTGTTAAAAACAGAATAAAATATAAATGTATTCAGTTAGTTGAGTTTTATTTTGTATTAAAATCACGTGCATATTCAAGTGTTTTATTAATAAAATATTATTTTATATCTTTCTTTTTACACTCAACTGATAAAAAGGATTAAAATCGAAACTAATTGATAAATTATAGATTAGTTTTAAGACGTTATAAAAATGACTTAAGTGATTGACAGCAAAATAGATGGACCATTTGTGATATTAATAAAGAAAAGTAAATATAAATGGTTTCTGAAGTAAAATTGAAGCAGATCCCAATTTAATCATTTTTTTATTGCTTAAGTATCCAAGGAAGGTTAGGTGCTACTCATTTTTCACACCTTTACACATTGTTTATGATAATAAATAATTGACATGCAAATCATGGTAGTGGTTTGTTGTTTGATCCACTCTGACCTGTTCGTTTAGTCAAGTTTGTTCTAATATTATGTATTTTTTTTAATCAGCAAAATATAAAAGTTTAATTTTTTTTTTGTTTTTATATGGTATCTATAGCGGTAATAATTGGTAGAATAATTTTTTTAGTGGGAACACAATTAAAAGTTAGAAATATTTTTTAATAATTGAAAAATAGTTATATATTTTATTTATTGAATATTGTAAATTTTTTTAATATAAATACAATACAACTAAAATATTTAAAAATTTTGGAGAAGAAAAATATGTTGTTTCGAGAAATAGATCGATCAATTCCGATTCTTTATTTTTCTATTGATTCTTTTCCGATCAAGATGTATGGATCCATGGGTCTATGTGTCTATATAGATCATGTTCATAGATTAACGAAAATGTGCAAAAACCCTATTTGCCTCTGCCATTCTATGAGTCTCTTCCTTTTTGCGTATGGCATCGCCACTCCCTTTGGCAGGTTTTTAGTAGGTCAAGTGCCTTCACGCACTACCTTGTCGCTCTACTACTATTGATAGTGTATGTTTTGAAACTTTGAATTTTGTTAAGCTAGTAATAAATTGAATGACACTTGAGATTAGCTTAGTGAATATATGTGTATTTATTAGGATTCAAAACCCGACGATTTCATTTTTATTAGTAAAATGAGAGCCATAATAGATTATTATAAAATGAGAGAAAGTAGGGAAAGTCAAAAAAATATATCTGATTCACAATTCAAAACAATGTCATAAGGTAAGAGTTGTGCACTAATTCTCAAATTTGTTTTTGGCAATTCATGAACAATGCATATCATGAAACAAAATTTGAGGGCACAAACGAAAGATCAAATATTCAAAGTAGAGTAATTGCCAACAATCTTCCATATTTGATATTTTCTGTCATTCAATCTATCACCGTGTCTCAAAAATATCAGAGAATATGAACAACAGATTCCATGGTAGTTTCATGTCCACTTTATGGCTAGGGACCACTGAAAAAATGACCCCGTTCATTTCATCGATTCGAGTTTAAAATTTGAGTTTTGTTATAGTAAAAAGCTTTAAAAAATAGTCACATCTAACTTTTTTGTTATAGTAAAAAGCTCTCACATAAAATCACATATCAACTCAAATTAAAAAACTCGAATTAACGAAGTAAAAAGTAAATTTCCAAAATATGAAAAACGGAATGATAATTAAAAAAAAAAAAAAAAAAGTTTTGCGCTTTGCTGTCCTTTACGGAATTTATGCTATTTTACTTCCTACA